ATAAAGATAATAATAATAATAATAATAATAATAATAATAATAATAATAATAATAATAATAATAATCTTGCTCTTCGTTCGATATGTTTAAACCAATAAAAGGCCCAGAGAGAGAGATCAGATCAGACCACATAAGCGGGTTGATTTCATTGCTGAGTGTAAGTTGTTGCTTGAAGTGCATTTTAATTTGTCTTTTTTTTTTTAAGTTCAGGCTCGGTGAGAGTGGTGGTGTGGGGTGTTGGTGATAGTGATGGTGGTGTGGGGTGTTGGTGATAGTGGTGGTGGTGTGGGGTGTTGGTGAGAGTGGTGGTAGTGGTAGTAGCAGCAATAGTGGTCGTAGAGGTGATGATTGCAGTAGTGATGATGGTGGTGGGGGAGGTGGTGATCGTAATGGTGGTGGTAGTCGTGGTAGTCATAATTAAAACACCACTATTATGATGCTGTTCTTGTACTAGTAGCTTTAAACACTTTCACAATAAAACCAGAACAACAACCACCACATCTCTTGCTGTAAATAGTGATAGATCCAATCTGTTGGTATGGCTATCCTCAAAAAGATTCCTGTGTTAATTTTATATTCTTCTTATGGTTGTGAAAGTATAGGTTCAATAGGCCTAAAAGGTTCCTATGGCGGCAGTACAGATACAACATAATGAAAAGTTAGTTTCCTTTCGGTATACAAGGAGGTCAGTTTGGTATTGTACTGCACTCTACTGCTTGCACTTCTCCCGTAACTAAAATTAGATGGGTGTTGATAGTTGGGTAAACTGAGGGTACCCCAAATTTGACCCAGCGCCCCCTAAACTGTACCCAGCGCCCCTAAACTCTACCCAGCGCCCTCCAAACTTGTACCCAGCGCCCATAAACACTAACCAGCGCCCCCAAGTGCCCCCAAACTTACCCAGCGCCCCCCAAACTCTATAGCTCATGGTAACAGTGCTCCAATGTTTATCTGGCTCCAGGTGTCTTATATGTATCTGGCTCCTGGCCCCTATATGGCTCTGGCTCCTGCCCCCTATGCGTATCTGGTTCCTGGTCCCTATGTTTATCTGGCTCCTGGCCCCTATATATATATCTGGCTCCTATGTTGAATTAGGTTGAATTTAGTCTCAACGTTAAAACATCGCTCATACACACACACACACACACACACACACACACACACACACACACACCAAACGCTTAACAACCTAACCTAACCAATTATACCCTCAGCGGCCTTGGAAGCGTGGCACGGGGAGGCTGTTGGCGTAAATCTCCTTATACCGGTCGTTGTGTCGTCAATAATTCATTCACAATAGATTCTTTTATCACCATCATATATCACTATCACCATGTAGAATAAAACGATAATAATATAAAACTAAACCATTGGTCTTACCGGGTTTAAGTCGCGTGGGGTACTTGGTTGAGTGAGCTTCTTGTATTGGTCTAAATCCTTAGGTAGTGTCTTGTTATTCTTCAGTAGGTCAGTATAACAACCTCCAGGTAGAGCCCTTGTATGACACTGATATATAAAACACACTTATATCGTACTTGTTAGGGTTAAGTGGTAAGTCTAAAGGTGAGTAAGTGTGTGTTTTATGTGAGGATTGAGTCTTGGTATATGTGACTTCTTTCTATGGAGTGTGTGGTGAGCATTAGGAGTATATGTGAGTCTTTTTTGTGTGTGTGAGTTACCGAGGTAGGGGGAGGTTGTATAAAGGTGAGGAGCACTGTGTGAGGGTTTTTTTTTTCTGGATCCAGGAGAGGAGGAGCACTTAGCGTGAGGGGTGACAATGTAGGACTGAGGTAGCGGTAGAAGGGGGAGGTGGTGGATGGTTCAGAGAGTCAGTCAGCCGCTCACACCACACACACAGCTTTCACCAATTCCCTCCCTCCCCTCTCTCCTTCCCCCCTCTCTCTCCTTCCCTCCCTCCCTCCCTCTTTCCAATACCTTAGCCCATCGCGTCTTCACTCCCTCATTGTTCCTATATTCCCCTATATATTTCAATACTATCAACACCTCTCTTGTACACATTCACTGGATATGGAACACATGATATTTCCTGGAATTTCTAATGACTTCATAGGGCGTTCTGTTGTACTGGCATATACTTTCAGGCATTGGTAGACTATGGGAACTTAATGGAAAACCTCGCCAAGTAGTTAGTTTTAATTGGCCTGTGTTAATGTGTGTATTATCGAACTAGTGAGCTCTGTAGAGGGTTCAGTCATTGCCACACGTTCAAATCGGTAACTTAGACTCGAATGTTTCAAGAGTTAACGTGAAGATAATGTTTTTATGTGTTTAAGGCAACTTTCTTATCAGGTAGATTGACTGCACTTGAGTATGGTGCCAACTCATCTCGGGGTGGTGCTATTTCTAAAGTTTTTGACTTTCATGTTTGACCCCATAGTCCTACAATATAGCAGGTCATGGTATGTATGTGTCCAGAGTCTTAAGTATCGTAGAATTTTACGTTTTCTGGTTATACTACGGACAAATTTTCATATATACCTGTTGGGAAGTGACTTTTATATGAATTTTTTGCCCTAAAAGCATAAAAAGGTCAAGGACGGATACTATGAATTAATAGAAGTGTTATGACTATTGTTTTCTGTGTTTGAGCTACTGACATACATAGGTACAGACCGCCCTACTCACACGTTTCCATCTGCCTGAGTAAACAACCTCAAGCCTTCCAGTGTGTTGTGTTTAATTATCTACCAAGAACAGTGACGCGGTAACGAGTAGAAAGAAAATAAATTCCCAGTATATATTCATTACAAAATAGAGGTATGAGGTACTCTTCGTTAAGTGTTATTTCAGAACCGTGATGGACTCCACATTTACGTCGTGGCTTAATGGGTCGTTTAATTTGTTTTTTACATCTTCAGTTAAATGAAAAGTTAATGTTTCAACTTCTGTGACTCTATCAGAGTCTAAGTTAGAGGCGTTCTGACGTCCTCAACGGAGGTAAAATTTGAAGGTAGGAATCTTATAGGATCCGGTAGGGGAAAGTAGAGGTTGTATAACCATGACCTTGAGGTGTGATGGAGGGACCTACCCACTCGTCAGGGTCTGTTGCTGGGGCTTCCCGCGATATGCCTCCACCGCTTAGGACTAACGCCCAAAATGTACCAAATTTATGGTCCAGGACCTGAGTCATCAACGACCCAGGTGTTAACTTTTACCCCTAACAGATGATGAGGAAACATAACTCTTAAGACACAGAACAAAGCGACTGACAGTTAACAACACATGTAAGAACCTTTAGTATAGTATAGTGTAATAGTGCGAGACTCGACACTCTCACTGGAGGTCGACTCACACAACCAGATTCATGTCGATCAACCTAAACTTTCTTCCTCGGCGCCACTTTCTATTTACACACATGAATATTGACGTTTAGGTTGTGAGTCAGGTAGCCGAGTGGATAATTACACTACAGCGTCTGACAAAGATATTTACATCATTATGGCCTTCCAGGAATTATTTATGTTTGGTAGAGTTTATTCAGCCTATTTCCGCCTTTCTTAACCTCACTGATACTACTTTAAGCCCGTGTGATCAGTTGGTCAGTCAGGTAAATATGTTGCTTGAGGTCAATTAAGGTGTTTCTTCCCCTTTGGACTCTGGATGACACACTGTAGACACCTGGTGACATAAACTGATGTAGATATATTTGAAGTTACGTTTACCTTATTTATCGTATACAGGTGTTCATTTAATCTCTAATTGCGAAGATTTGGGTCAACACTCCTCTGTATTTTAACTAATCCATACACAATTTTTTCCCTTCAGTATATTAAAGATAATTAACAAAGGTATTCAAAGGATTTAGGAAACAAAAGCCATATTTTTTCTCAACAAGTGATGTATTTTTTAGGTGTTATGGAACAGGATGGAAGGGGGGACGTTTTACATGTTCTAACCTAACCTAACCAAACCTAACCAAGCCTAACCTAACCAAACCAAACCTAACCTAACCTGTCAAGATCTGCCTGGGGAAGAAATTACCACATTTAATCAATTCATCAATCAATCAATCCGGTATATTGAAAGGCTGGAACCCCACACGATTGACCCACCCCACGATGGATGTCATAATATCAGCGGAAATACCCAAGACTGATAGTAATGTAGAATAATAGAGTGAACAACCACGAGTAACATTGTGAGATGCGACGTGACTGAAAGTAAAAGGGTCCTACCTGAACCGGACACACACACACACACACACACACAAACAACTTCCTATAGTGCTTGTGTGTGGGGGGGGAGGGGGAGGGGCTTCCAACATAATTACCTGACGCAATACAATTTAATTCTAAGATTATGTAATACGTTAATAAATTAAACGTCACTTCAGCAAGCTCAAAAAACAAATAATGAATAATAATTAACAGAAGGTGATGATAATTCTACTCGTCGTGGGGGAGAGAATTAATGACAATAAAACACACATGTGGAAAAAATAATAAGAATACAAAAATAAAATAGATACAATGAAATACAGTAGACAGTTGTTGCATAATTTCAGGTTTTCACTTTCACCACAGTTTCGGACAGTGGAAGTAAAATGTACAGGTAGGAACGTTCTTATCACCAGGTGTACAAGTTATTCTCACCAGGTGTATTCAGTTATTCTCACCAGGTGTATTAATTTATTCTCACCAGGTGTATAACAGTGACCCACATCATTAGGGAACTTATACACTCGAGGAGAAATATACCGGTATACAATTTATATATTTTGACCATCAGTAGTATATGACCACACAACTATGGGGGAGGGGGGGGGGGTTGTCCACACTTACAGACAGGTAAATATTTAGTAGTAAACTTTCTGTTGACAATATTAGTAACATTCTCTTCTGAAGGACACGGGGCTGCCTCACTACAGCAACACTTGGCTTGTGTTATTATTATTATTATATTATTATTATTATTATTATTATTATTATTATTATTATTATTATTATTATTATTATTAATTATTATTTTAAACTTTTTACCTTATTTGGGAGAAATATATTTGTGGTTGTTAGGCAGTGCTTGGATGTGTCGGTCTTCTTCACGCAATTGTCATCTAATAACCAGGCCAGGCGGTCCTTGTGTACTAGGACCAGGTTGGGGCTCTTGGCCTACTGTTCTCTACCTTAACACGTGTCAATACTTGCCACAGTAAGGGTCAAGTATAGGGACAGTCACCAAACCTGGTCGTTAAGGCACTTCCATCATGTGCTCAGACCAAGTGTTCTCTCACCCACATGGTCGGCCAGGCTGTGGGGGTCAGGTCGTGGCCACTGGCGACGGGAACCCCCATCCACCTTACTTTCACCTGTGACATCACATCCTCCTGTGACGTCATGGTCGACACACACACACACACCAAACCCCACCATTGTTATTTCTGGTTGACTTGGCCCACTGTAGTACAAGTTTTTCCTAGTGGTCAATAATACCAGGAAGGTTAGGTTGAGGACTTTAAGGGCATTGGATACTGATATAGAGATTGTGTAGAGGATTGTAATTTCGTTGTCGAAGTTTTTGAGAAGTGAAAATGGATGATTCAGGAGAAGGGTTGGGGTCACTCCTGTCACTAGTTACGTGGAACTTCCCTCACCACATCCTCCATTCACCTCACCTCTCCCCCGCCACCCCCCCTCCACCCCCTCCTTCCTCCTCCATCACCCCCTCCTTCATCCCTTTCCATCACAACCACCCCCTAACATAGACACCCCCTAACATACACACACCCCCTAACATAGACACCCCTAACATACACACATAACATACCATAACATAACATACACACACCCCCTAACACACACACCCTAACATACACACACCCCCTAACATACACACTAACACCTAACATACACACACCCCTACACACATACACACCCCCCTAACATACACACACTAACATACACATCCTAACATACACACCCCTCATACACACACCACACACACCTAACATACACACCCCACACACACACACACCACACACATAACACACACACCTCCCCTAACATACACACACCCCCTAACATACACACACTAACTATACACACACACCCCTAACATACACACACCCTAACATACACACACACAACATACACACCCCTAACATACACACACACCCCTAACATACACACACCCCTAACATACACACCCCCTAACATACACACCCCCTAACATACACACACACCCCCCCTAACATACACACACCCCTAACATAGACACCCCCAACATACACACACCCCCAACTCACACAGACACCCCTAACATACACACACACCCACCTAACATACACACACCCCTAACATACACACACCCTAACATACACACCCCTAACACACACACCCCTAACATACACACATCCCCTAACATACACACACCCCTAACACACACCTAACATACACACACCCTAACACACACACACATAACATACACACACCCATACACATAACATACACACACCCCTAACATACACAACACACACACCCCTAACATACACACACCACCCAACACACACACCCCCTAACATACACTAACATACACTAACATACACACAACATACACTAACACACACACACACCCCTATACACACACACACCTATTCACCATTTTCCTCCTTCCTGCTCCACTGTGACCAAGTGCCCCCAACATATGACCTCGCTTTTCTCTATGGAACACACACACACACACACACACACAACACACACACACACACACACACACACACACACACACACACACACACACAGGAAATATAGCGATGTAACCCCAATATGTTTTAATGTGTGTGTGTTCGTGTTCAGTAAAGAGGGGAATTTCTTGTCACATTTTCTATACTGTACATGTTTTTCAGCTCTGTTTATTTACTCGTTGCCATTAATAGGGTAGAGTATGTTTATAAGTGTGTGTGTGTGTCTGTATATAACCGTGTGTGTTTATAATGTATGATCCGGTCTGTGTATGAATAGTTATATAGATGTGTGTGTGATTTCACGTATATATGTTTGTATGAATATATTTCGTATCTTTCTTTTTTAGACATACGGTAATTTCATGCAGGATTAAGTGAATTTACAAAACAAACACACACATACACACACACACACACACACACACACATTTACATACGGTATAATTAAACATGAATAAACACACACAAAACACTCATCTCGTCGTTAATTTAATGTGATTGCAAGACGCGACAAAATATGTTTCCCCCCCCACCCCCCCCCCCACCCCTCCGAAAAACACATTAATTAAACACGGTTAAACTCTGGGCCAATCAAATCCACTTTTACTCAAGTTGATATCACGTGATTGGTGGACGGCAGGGTCGAGGAAGCCAGTCATTATAGTTGGGACCCTTGAAGGCGTTTATAACAATGAGAAGAAAGCTACACCTCTATTGATCACCATCGTTACAAGTCGCCTTAAGGTCAGAGGTTGAAGTGAAGTCTTATAAAAGGTAGTTAGTTTGCCAGGTATAGTTGTGCAGTGTTTACCATACTGTACTGTATGGGGTAGGTTAGTGTCCAGAATGAGGTGTATATCGAATCATTAATACACACACATACACACACACATACACGCACACACACACACACACACACACACACAGAAGGCCAGGAGAGGCTGAAGGACTGTACACACAAAGATACGTACAGGCACTTTTGTTCCCTCTGAGTCTTTCATCTTTGTTCCTCTAAATTGTCTCATTTTTCAAGGTGTGTTCTCCTGTCAGGTTTAATATATTACCTGAAGGAACTATTACGGACTTCTCTTTGGTCATATAATCCGTTAGTTGGAGGTTTTACTGAACTGTCGTCATTATTGTTCATCGTCTCATCCACAAACATCATCAGTCAAGTCAGAAATGAACAAAAACGGTGATAAAAATGTACGAATCCTTTTGACAACACGTAATTAGAGTGAGGTGAAAAGGTGGTTTGGTTTTGTCAACACATATAGGGTGACCCAGAGGAAATGTCCCTGTCTACCTCCCTCCCTACTCCCTGAGACACTGAGTTGGACGGAGGCAGGGAGAGAGGGAGGCAGGGAGAGAGGGAGGCAGGGAGCAAACACGGATGGGTGTGAAGAACATAAATCACACTCCTGAACCTGTGTATAGATGACTCGAAACCAGACCACCATTTGTGTTGGGTTAATTAAATGGGATTCAATTCTTTTTTTGTCTTTATTCATCTTGATAAATAAGTCAGACTAAGAGACGTTTGTGTGTGTGTGTGATATAGTATTAAATAATATATAACCAGACAGTTAAAATACATCACATCATAACCGGGCATTGATAACACATACAACATAACATAACACAACGTAACATAACACAAAACTCTCACAGAAGTATAACACGTATCTCAAAACAACAACCCGATAATTATAACACACGACACAAGTTATAATACACAACACAACTTTAGATAATATATAACACACAACTAAAGAATCATAACCTAACCTAATTGGATTGTCATTCGAAAAATATATAATAGTCAAGAGAAAAGAGTGACATTAAAACATATTACACACACACACACACACACACACACACACACACACACACTTAAAACATTACCCACAAAATTCACTCATAAACAATAAAACACAAAAACTATTATAGGAAAATATATAGTTTTTTTTTCTTAATGAGAATATTTTAAAATTATTACCTTCTATAACTGGCAAGAGACAAGTACTTGTTATAGCGGACGTTTACTACCACTAACGGACTCTCACACACACGTCACGTTGACCTCCCTTCGTAACCTTTGACCTTTAGTGCAATTATCACCAACTTCTAATCACTTCTTGTTTACTTTTTTTCATTAAGCTTCAGTAATTACAACAACTTTTGGGGGAAATTTGTAAAAGATGGATTTTGTTTTATTTACCTTTAGTAATAACCTTTGACCTCTGCCCACTCGTAACCAGACTATGTTCAGAAAGTTCTTGACGAAGCCATTTTGACCTGTTTTGGCCTTGACCTTAATATTTTGATGACTTGACACGGATTTCAATACTGATTTCAATACGGATTTCAATACGGATTTCAATACTGATTTCTACGGCATTGTGTACTGATAATCTCCACAAACAGATAGAGACATTTGTTATTTTGGTTCACTTGATGATTAGCCTCCACCAGCTTATTTCACCTGATGATTTAACACCTTAATGCTACCTGGGTGGTTGTCGGTTAGGCTAGGTTAGGTTAAATTTAGGTTTGGTAAGGTTAGGTTAAGTTAAATAAGGTTAAATTTAGGTTTGGTTAGGTTAGGTTAAGTTAAATAAGGTTAAATTTAGGTTAGGTTAGATTAGGTTAAGTTAAAATCAAAATCAGGTAAAATAAGTCATTAGGTTAATTATCATAGCATTCGAATTTCTCTTTTTGTTGTTAATATGCAAGTGACAAAGAATAAACAAATCAGACCCAATTAAAATTCATCTCTTATCATACCTTTATAAACTCTAGGATCATCTCAGTACAAAGAACACAGTCCACTTCACCTGTGCGTTTACAGGGGCTCTTCATGTAAACCTCCCACAAATCATTATCATTGAGGTATTTGTTTTAATGTTGTTTTAATTTGATTCTATGGTGAGTTTACTATCGAGAGTTTCCTTCTGTCGAATGTAAACAAACACAGGGCTGCCACACTGCACAAAACCTGACGAGCCTCTGTAAACACAACTAGTGAATGGGACTGTGCCATGTAACAGTTCTCAAGCGGGTACATACATTAGTAATTTATGATATTTTTTAATTTTGTAGAGTTAAGAATATCATGAGTTAAATTATGTTTTTTTTTTGTATCATCCCTGTATATGTTAACCGATTTTAGCACGAATTTGTAGAAAAAAGTGATAAATTCTAAAATCTGGTGGAGATGTATTGATAAATTCTAAAATCTGATGTAGACTTGTTTAGAATCTTTACCCTCTGTTGTTAGCTCTTATAGAGGTCAAAGGCTACGTTACCATAAATTTACAAAAGCGTGGTTTCTGAAATGACGTGAATCGAAGTACACACATTGTTATTCGTTAGTGCCCCCATAGTGATTAACGAAGTATTTGGAATTCGTAATCATTTGTTGGCTTGGGGGGAGGGGGGGGATCCAAACGTCACCTCCCCGCCCCCCCTCCCCCAAAATATCAAAATTTGGGTTGACATGGTTGTTGATGTGAGCTGGATTAGGGGGGGGGGGCATTTTGCATCGTATACTGAATGTCGTTGGTTTTACTTATTGCTGTTGTCTTAAATAGTGTTCCCACAATGCCCTGTAGGCTCTGTGGATTCATACAGGAAAGTAGAGAAAGATCCTCAGGCCAAATAATCTTTTAAGCTAAATTACTTAAAAGGAATTATATCACAAAATTATCATTAAGCAAAAGGATCTTAAAGCAAAAGGACTCCAAATAGAATTATCCTCCAACATAGGACCTCAAGCAAAACGATTCCAAACAAAAGGACCTCAAGGACTTAAAGCTAAATCATCTCTCAATAAATAGGTGTTAATTAAAGCAGAAGTGTCCTCAAGAGGTAGAACTTCAGGCGAACTCCTTATTAACATCGTGGACGTGTTGGTGCATCCATCGCTGCTTGTTGGAGTACACGTTTTGGGTGAGGAAGCCCAGCATCCTGAGGTAGGTCGCCTGGAGCCAGCTGGTGAAGGACGTCATTCTCGTGTACACGTTGGGTGTTCCCGGGACGGTACAGTCCTTGGACCACGACACTAGACCAGCCACGAACCACCGTCCACCAACCTCACATGCTAGTGGTGAGCCTCCGTCCATCGTGCTCTGTGGATAGTGGATAAGTGAGTAGATGGATTGATAGAACAAAAAAGTTGAATGAACAAATATGAGAACATCCCCTGAATGGTACAAGTCTTGAACAACGATACTAATCCTGCCACTGACCGCCGTCCACCAGCCTAACATGCTAGCGGTGAACCTCTGACCATTGTGATCTTGTTATTGCAGCATCAGTAGGATAATTTAGATACTAACGTAGCAGGCGGAAGCGTGGTCCAGCCCGCCAGCACAGAGGAAGGAGTCTGAGGACGCCAAGATGGTCGACCCCGTCACGTTCTGTAGTGCAGCGCGACATTCTCCCTTCTTCAGCAGCGGCACCGACAACTGCCTCAGCACACCGTCAGATGGCACCACGTCTTTCACGTCTGGTAGAGGGAAGTTATGGGTTGGTGAATTTGTCGTACATGTCGATTTTTATTATGATTCTCTACTTTATACTGTCCCCGGGAGGCAATGTCTTATACCTACTAAAGCAAGTACTGTAATGCTTCCTAAGTTCTGTAACAACTCTTATTAAGTCATACACCTGTGAGGGCAAGGTAAGGGTTGGTGAGATTATCGTGTGTCAGGTAAGGCTGTAACATTTCCTGAAAGAGCAGCTTGTCTTTCATCTCTACTTAAGGCAATACTGCATTGTAGGCTTGAAGCGTCTTGTGTTGGGCAGGACAGGTGTGGGTCGGTGAAGTTGTACAAAACTGTATTGGTTGTAATTTTGAAACACTTTCTTAAATGGCAAGGGAAGACTTAAGTTTGTGCAGTAATATGTAATAGTCTCTCTGTATACTAGGAGACACAGTTAAGAGTAGTTGTCGTACTTGTTAACATTTATTCTCTGTAAAATTTATCGATAGTCAAATGTTGTAAGTGTGTGAGTTATGATAGTAGTGTTGTATTAATCACTAAGAAACAAGATATAATTAAACGTCCGGTAAAGAAGGGGAGCTGCCAGGATTTATTTGTACTGCCAAGGCAAACATTTAACGCATGTATTTTCCAAACTTGTGAGAGGCAAAGGAACACATATTGGTGAAGGTGACAGATGTTTTAATAATGGTTGTGGTTTGGTTAGACTCCCAAACGAGGCAAAACATTGAGGATAGTTTAATGGGTGGAGTTATCTTACACATCAACAATGATTTATATTATTGATGTACTGTACTTTCTCAACTGGTCAAATTCTCAAGACCGACAAGGAAGGACTTGCTTTCGTGGAGTTGCTATTGCAGTAAACAATGCAACCAAGCCTCAGGCTATAGGTGAACGATTAATACACATACAGTATAGCTTGGTAAGGCGTGATGAATGTAGTTAACCACACTGACCTGTGATCATGTTGTATGGGACGTGGCCGATGCCGTAGCCAGTCACTATGCAGGTCTGGGCGGGGAAGATAGCGTCCTGTTGGGCCATACACACCAGACACACGTTGTGGCTCAGTGTGGCGTGGTCCACCAGCCTTATCACACCTGTAAACAATGGGTCTATGTTAGGTTTAAGGCGCTAGAAACACGGGTAGTGACTTGGGGTGGTGAACTAACTCTCGTCCTTTTTGCCAGATGTGAGCACAATGGGTCGCTCGGTGAAGATAACTCACACTTCACTAGTCCGACTCCACCGCTCGTCTGACCAGGAGTGTGACAACAATTTCTTCTCTTAAAAAAAAAGGTGAGTTTGAGAAGTTTTTGGGTCGTAATATATAGATAGGAGTAGAAAGAGGAGGTCAGATTGGTTATAAGTAAGCTCAGGAGAAAGTGGAATCACCATTGAAATGTTAGAAATAGGAGATGGAATACTGATAACACGGATAACAGGAATGTGTAGTGCTGTGTATGGGAGAGGGAAGGGTGGTAAGGTCATGTCAGAAAGCGTGTATACAGTTCCCCCGGTATAAAGGCAAAGATGGTAATAACGAAGGTAAAGGGAGTGAGTCAGTGCCATGTGACAAATAGTGTAAACAATATATATGATTGTTTGAAGGTGTTGTGTAGTGGGCGAGTATTGAATGACCCGAGAAAATCAGGTTGGGATAACACTCGACCAAATTGGGATCACCTTGGGGTCATCCGGGTCACCTTGGGGTCACTTGGGGTCAGACTCACCAATATCATTAGCGTGGGCTCCTCCGGAGGTGAAGTAGTCAGGGTGGGTGACCACCTCAGCCAGGGAGTGGAACTGTAGGCCGTAGGGCAGGTCCTCCTGCAGGTTACTGTCCCCCAGCACCACCACATAGCGGGAGAGGTTGCGTGGGTTTAGCCTGTAACGGGACAGAGAAGATTGATTACAGGTAAAGGCTGCAACAGGGTAGGTTAATTACAGGTAAAGGCTGCAACAGGGTAGGTTAATTACAGGTAAAGGCTGCAACAGGGTAGGTTGATTACAGGTAGTGGGAATGTGTTAACTAAATCCACTCATTAATCCCCATATAATGAGATAAATTCGCTTACGACTCCTATAAACTGTTGGCTGTAGGGAAGAATGTAATAGCCGGACTCACCTCCTAAGACAGGTGGCTGTGGACACGACCAGGTTAGACTCGACGAGCGCCCCCGAACACACGTACTTGTTCCCACCCTGTCGACGTTCCATGATGGCCGCCACCCAACACCACTCGACCGTTGACGCCACCAGACCTCCCAGGATCCTGCTGCTCGACGGGTCTGGTATCTGGGTCGATAGATAGTGTAATTATAAGCAAGTTATTCGGCGGTCGATGAACTTTTTTGACGTCTGTGGCTCCTGTGTGGATCATTACCGATATTGGACCTACATAAACTACCTTGATATTTATTAGTTGATCGTTGACAGCATATATTTGTGTGGCTGTAACGTTGCAACAGATTGTGGAATGAAATATTAACTAACAACAAAGATCGGAGTTGAAGAGAAGGTTAACTGCACTAGGAGGACTTGAACACTTTTTCCCCAAGTTGAACATTACATACTGAACGTTATTTACAGGTCGGTGAGCATGTTTAGTCATCAGCTAGAGCGACTGTAGTTTGTTGTGTTTATTTAAGGGTTTACAGTATGTGAGTGGCGGCCTCTTTAAATCATTTTAATTTTAACAGGACATCTTGTATAAATTGTGATGAACAAAGTTTACCATGAGAGCAGTTTAGCCGAGAGTTGAGTGTGTTCAAGAGTTACTTACGTAGTTCTTTAGTCCCTTGAAGCCACAGATGTTCTGGTTGACGGGCTGAAGGAGCAGTTGATCGGGGTAGTTACTGTAGTAGTCGTAGTCTGTTGGTTCTTCTCCGCCTGGGAAGTCTTCACCCATTCCAGGGTCTTCCCCTCCCACTCCTATCACTCCAGACTCTTGTCCATTTGTTCCTACCACTCCAGGGGCCTCTCCATTTGATCCTGCCACCTCAGTTACATTCCCACCTGCTCCTTCCACTCCAGGGATCTCTCCACCTGGTCCTACTACCCCAGACTCTTCCTCGCCTGTTCCTACAGTCCCGGGAATCTCCCCATTCACGTGTGTCACCCCGGGAATCTCCCCATTCACGTGTGTCACCTCGGGAATCTCCCCATTCACTTGTGTCACCTCGGGAATCTCCCCATTCACTTGTGTCACCTCGGGAATCTCCCCATTCACTTGTGTCACCTCGGGAATCTCCCCATTCACTTGTGTCACCTCGGGAGTCTCCCCATTCACTTGTGTCACCTCGGGAATCTCCCCATTCACTTGTGTCACCTCGGGAGTCTCCCCATTCACTTGTGTCACCTCAGGAATCTCCCCATTCAATTGTGTCACCTCGGGAAGCTCTCCAACAACTATAACCCCTTGACTAGGCACCGTCTCCCCCACACTCTGGTCAGTGACTTGTTCTACAGTTGATCCCTCTGTCGTAGTCGTCGTCGAAACTTCTGGTTCTTGAGTGTCTTGCACGCTGTTGGACTCCAGCTCTGTCACTGGGATGGTCTCACCACCTTCTTCAGTGAGCACCAGCGTCTCCGTGACCTCCTCCAGGGCCTGAGTTTCTACTGTTGAAGGAGGGTTCTTCGCGGGGGACTCGTCAGGGAAGACGGTGACGTCTGAGTTGTCCAAACCGTTGATAACTTGCGTCTCCGTGATCTCCTCCAGGGCCTGAGTTTCTACTGTTGAAGGAGGGTTCTTCGCGGGGGACTCGTCAGGGAAGACGATGGCGTCTGAGTTGTCCAAACCGTTGATAACTTGCGTCTCCGTGACCTCCTCCAGGGCCTGAGTTTCTACTGTTGAAGGAGGGTTCTTCGCGGGGGACTCGTCAGGGAAGACGATGGCGTCTGTGTTGTCCGAACCGTCGATAACTTGGGTGTCTGTAACCTTCTCTTGGCCTTCAGGAGGTTGCTTCTCTCCTGTGGAAGGTTTCTTCTGGAAGGATAAATGAGGGAGGAAGATTACGTTCATGTTGTCCGAGTTGATGAGGGTAGAAGATGGTGGTGGTGGTGGTGGTGGACGTCGTATTGTCGTCTGGGTGGAGGTGAGGTCCAGACTAGATGTTGTAGTGGTGTCATCGATGGCCTGAGTTTTGGTGGTGGTGAGGACGTTGGCCTCAGTAGACGACTGGTCGTTTCCTTCAGCCACAGATGACTGCTTTATGGTAGTTGGGATCTCGTGGTAACTCTCCGTGGTCTCCTCTGGCTGGGGAAGAGAATTAGAGTTCAGTTAATGTGTCGTAACATCACACTACCACAACTAAAGACAGTGTCGTAAGTCCTAACCTGACCTGACAACATTACAAGACTTAACTCACTCAACCTCAGCCGCAGTTCACTTAATAACAAGAGTTGCAGGTTTACACTATTGTAAGGGCTCCTTTGGTGCGTCCTAATCTTATAACACTACTAATGGTTGATTTCGTTTGTCGTAAGGTCACACCACAGCAAGAGGTATTTTCTTCTATCTGAAACTGATAACTCTACCTTACTTCAGTGTAGACCACCGTAACAATACCCCAGAATCTCCGTAAGTATATCATTACTGTGCATCAAGACATGACTTCAGAAATTATAATATTTTTCCATCCAAATTTAAATCCTGGACCAGAATTCGTAAAGAACCGAACATGAAATTGTGTTCCATTAATGGGGACAAGAACAGTAGTGTGTCTGTGTACCATCTTGGCCACCGATAAGGGTCGAGAAAACATTAAACAAAGGAACTCTGAGAATCCATGATTATATTTCAGCTTAAGTAAGTCAGCTGGTTTTGTTTTCGCATCACTACACTAGTCTTTGGGAACATTTATGTGGGAATCTTTGAAACGTGCAACACAGTAAACACAAACAAAACCTCTGGGAACATGATGCATTACCTGATCAATCTCTGAGTCCTCTTCACTTAGTAAGATCAGCTGAGGGTCTGTTGGGGTGGCCGGGGAAGGGGGAGGTGAAGGAGTAGTGGGCGGTGGAAGGGGCGTGGTGGTAGGCGTGGAGGCTCTGGTAGGTATTGTGCCGGTCCAGGGGCGTGTCACCAGGTCGATGATACCCGTGAAGTCAGTTACCACACCCACAATGTCGATTAAGTTCTCAGGTTTGAGGTTATCAATGTCCAGCTCCTCCTGGCGGCAGAGTGAGAGAGACAGGTGAGGTCTACAGTTATGGTGATAAAACAGGTAGACGACAGACTATTGTTCAGGGTGTGTGGTGCCGATGTTGTGTTCATCTGTATAATTCAAGAGTAAAGAAGTGTATTATTTTTATTATTTGCTACAGTATTAACTTAAGGTATGTATTAGTTTTTTTTTAGTTGAAGATTAAATTTATTTCATAGTACCAATAGTATTTGAATGGTATTTTTAAAGCTCATTTTTTTACAGCTACAAAAAAAACATCGGCTTCTTATGTTATGATGACGTCAGTTTTTTAATTTATTTTATTTTATTTTATTTTATTTTATTTTATGTATTTTCTGAGGAAGAAAGTCATAGTTGTGTAGTTGTAAAGCTCTCGTTATAGTTCGTGATAGACTTGTGCTTGAAGGCCTCTGAAAGTATAATCTATTTCAGTATAGTTGTTACTGGCATTCTGATCACAGTTTGTTAGTTGAGATTGCTGAAACCAATCACAGTTGTTATTTCAGGTGACGTCACGCTATAAAACCAATCAAAGTTGTTGTCTTAGGTGACGTCACGCAATGAAACCAATCAAAGTTGTCTCAGGTAACGTTACGCTATGAAACCAATCAAAGGTGTTGTCTCAGGGTGACGTCACTTTCCGAAACCAATCAAAGTTGTTGTTTCAGATGACGTCACGCTCCGAAACATCTTAAAAGGAATGCTACTGACCTGTTGTTGGTTGATGATATCTTGCTCTATGAGGGAGAAGACGTCGGTGATGGTGTAGGAGGAGAGGGTTGTGGTGGGCGGCTCGCTGGTGGCTTTACCTAGTGGGTTGTACCTGGAAGACAAACGTGTAATAAGAGATAATAATAAGAATGGTAGTATGGCAGAAGGTGATGAGATGACTTGGGAGAATGAGTGATAAACAGCGGTTTGTGTGTTATGGTAAAGAATGGAAGGTATATTTAGGAGTAACGATGTATAACTCTCGTCTTCCTCCTCTTCTTCCCCCCCCCACCTCCTCCTCTTCTTCCCCCCCTCCTCCTCTTCTTCCCCACCACCCACCCCCACCTCACCTCCTCCCCCACCAATGTCTGTACCGGTAGCATCAACATTTGGGCCTCCGTCATTCAACCCTCAAATTACGGTCGACAGTCATTCACATCTCTTATGATCATGACATTCTTAAACAGCCGGAACACAGGAGAGAGAGGAAGCAGATGACCCGATAATATTACCCGTTAACTCGTACAGGGGGAGGGGAGAACTAGGGGGTGGGGGGACAAAGGGAAGAACTAGGGGGAAGACAGGGAAAGAACTGGGGGAAAAGAACAAGTAGGAAGAAAGAGGAGAACAGAGGAAAGTACAGGGGGAAAGAACAACACAGAAACGGGGAAGAACAGGTGAGAAACAAAGAACGAAGAACAGTTAACACGATAAAGAGATATACTGTAAGGGTGGTAACAATAGCTGGCTGCCACAGAAACATCCTCACTACTCTCCAAAAAAACGGGACTTTAGCGGTCAAGGTGTGGTGGTGTGGTAAGGGTCATGACCTCTCCCTCCCCTCACCACCCCTTCTCCACCCCCCCACCCACTCACCCCACTTACCTGTATATACTGTACATTGTGTCCTGGGGTAGTGTGCTTCCCTCTCTCTCTCTCTCTCTTTAGCTTTATTTATTTTTCCTCCACAGTTACACATCTGTCAGCTACTGTCCATGAATTTACTGTCATTGTCTCTTCCTCCGTCCGTCTCACCAGCCATCTGTCGGCCGCTGCTTGAGGTAAGACGTTTCATGAAGCACTGTAGACATATTGACCGGCCACATGTTATACTGTAGACCTTCACAGATGAAAGGTCTCATAACGGGTATCAGGGAATGTGGCAAGGAGACCCAAACTTCCCCCTCTCCCTCCTTGTTTTCTTCCTCTTACCTCTTCCCCTTTCCCCCTTCCCCTCCTCTTTCCCTTCCCTCCTTCCCTTCCTCCTTCCTTCATTCACTCCTTCCCCTCTCTTCACTCTCCTCTCTTCCTTCTCTGCCCTCTCGCTCTCCCCCTCTCTCCTTTCCCCATCTTCCCTCCCCTCCCTCCCCTGTTCCCTTCCCCCTCTTCCCTCTCGCCCCTCACCTTCCCTTCACCCTTCTCCCCATCCTCCTCCTCTTCCCTCCCCCCTCTTCCCCTCTCCAGAAGTACATTGAGGTGAAGGTTGGAAGGTAATGTACAGGTGTTTACGGCTCTGTTGTCCGCAATATGATACCTGTATAATTTTCTTGTCCAAATGACGTCTCAATAATTTTAATTACTTCTCTAACGCTAATTACTCTTCTAAGGCTAATTACTCGCCGCCTATGGTTTTTCAAGGTCATTTTTTGGTGTTTGTGTTGTTCTAGATGAACTAAAGTAGTTAGCCACGCTACATTTCAATAACATAATGTAGCCAAATAAAATCTAGCGAACTTGACCTAACGCAACCTAATATAACACTTAGCTACCGTAATGTGAGGTAACTTAACATAATATAATGCAACCTAACCTAACCACAGTTCAGGGAATAAGAGTAAAGCACTATAGACTCACTGGCATAATATAATATAATGCAACCTATCCTAACCACACTTCAGGTAATAAGAGTAAAGCACTATAGACTCACTGGCAGCAGACAAAGTCAATCTTGGGGGTGAAGGCATCTCGGAGGCCGCGACAATGACCGCCAGTGTTGTCAGCTCTGAAGTCGATGTCCACCGTACAGTTGTTGCCCAACAAACAGTAACCACTACCTTTGAAACAGCTGCTGACGCCTTGAATCACGAACAGCCCTGATAACACGAGGTACAGGACGTTAGGACATATTGTGACCCGTTATAACTGAATACAAGATGACGCTGGTTAACACCGAGGGCCCAGACCCTCGAGCACTTCTCACTGGTATAAACAGGTGAATCTGGGCTCACAAGGATGAAGCAACACAGGGCTCGCTGGTCGTCACATGTTACTCACTCGTGTATGTTCAGTGGGTATTCGGTAAAGGAGCTAATAGTGTAGTGTAATCAAGCCTTAACACGTAACTGACGTTACAAAATAGGAATTTTTTGGCTATTCCCAATATCTCATGAAAATTAGTTCATATATAGTCAACTTATTTGAATCATTTAAGACATCGTTTACTATAAGAGCTTAAGCATATTATATTCATATTACTCAACACTTACCAGGGTCCACTATAGGCAAAGCTCCTACGCCCACCAGCCCGCCCATCAGCACACACCACGCCCACATCATCTGTAAAATCACTTTGAAATGAAAACTTTTACCTGTGAACTTTTCTAAACATATTGTGTGTGTGTAATGCCAACAAAATTACACAGCCCGGCTGCCAACAGTATACTGTATTCTAAATATACTGGACAATCAGTGTTTAGGATCCTGCAGTTATATTTATGGATTGTAACAATATTACGATATAATTTTGTATTAACTAAAATATTACCGTGAATTTCAAGCTATTTTGTTGGTAGTCTGACTTCCACTATTTTAGCTTAAATTGTACAAGAGTTTTTGTACATTGTGTAGTTCAGTTTTATGCCAGACACTCTCGACGAGTCTATAGCAAAATGTTTGACTTCTAGACAAGATCTCTGGTGTGTGTGCCAGACCCCTCTGAGGAAGTTATTCGTCCAAATCATGGGTGACTACATCAGTTTTTGTGTATACTGTAATTGTAATCATCACCACGGCCGCTCTGGTGTGTGAGTCACGGGGAGGAACACAGTTATGTGCAGAATATAGAGTCCATGACCATGTGTTGAGTGTGTGATATCCTCAAGGGTCTCTGTCAGCATAAACATCAAGGAACTGTGTAGACCAATTATTATACTTCACACTTGGCGCTGTATTACGCTTACTGTACAAATCAGAACTCAGATTCTTTAAGGTTCGTACGTGAAGACTCACTTACAGGATAGAGTTTTCTCTAGAGACTTGACTCGGAGGTAAATCTTCCACAATGTAAACAGTTTGCAAGTTCCTCTCTGCCAGCACCCAAAAAATCTCTTCTCACCAACTCCCCAGGTTTATTGTGAGGTGTCCTGACACATCTCTCGCGAATAAAAGTGACTTTTATTTCTTCTCTTGTTTAGAGAATCAGTTGTGGGCAGGGAACCAGAACGATTGGAATTGCATTTTTGTTGTTCAGCACACAGAGGATCACTGAGAAGATATACCCAGAACTGTGGGGGTGTGACCAGGGCCGAGCACCGGGTGAGGATCAACGCCTGGGGGAAGATGACGGCGGGAGAGGCGACACAAACACACAGGAAGACACACAACCAGAACGTGGAGCACCGGACCCTCTATCAGTGAAGATCTGGGACGGACGGAGACAAACCTGATTATTTATACCAGGATGAACTCTCCTTCACCAGCCGCTATGTACCTCACTCGTCTTTCCTGAACCGGCGTTACTAGGCGGAGTTTGCTGTCATTTTATACATGATATCCGATGAGATAAATTGTGTTATATTTATCAGTTGGTGTCGATCTAAGATTTTTATCCAACATGACCAGTTTTTGTTGTTGTTTGTTAATGTGTGTGTACAGCCTCCTGGTCCACACACGGCACCATACAGACACACACTGAGGAAATAAGGATACGTGTTGTTAGGAAGACTGTCTCCTCTACCAGTGTGAACAAGTCTCCCCCCTCCCCTAAGATATTCCCGTGCGTGTCTCTGATGGAGGGAGGGAGGGAGGGAAGGGTCCGCCAGACTTGTTCCTCCAACAGTTTTCTCTCAGGGGTGTCAATAACCTTGATACTGAATATCGGGGGGGGAGGCTTCTCTGGCATGTTAACGCTCCTTTAAACAAGTGGTTGTGTATGATGGCGTAAGAACACACCTAACTGGTTCTGTTTCACCAGTTACGGTAAGACTAATTAAGGCTTTTTTATTTTAACTGGTATAAAAACGTATCTTAACTGGTTCACTTCAAATACAACATTAAAATAAAGGCTAGAATGACAAAACAACATACCATACCACAACATAACATACCACAACACAACACACCACAACACAACACACCACACCACAACATACCACATCACACCACAGCTAACTGCCTGACTGACCTCGATACATCAACTAAGCTCCTGATTGAATGTAAATTTTACGTAGAAAAATCTTTGAAAATCGGGTGAGTTGACTTTGGTAATCTAGACACAGGAGCCGTTAATCATCGACGCATTAACCAACACCCATGTGCTCTGGATAAGTCAAATAGAATTAATAAGGGATAAAACAGACTGGCTTTATCCTCTGTTAGAAAATGGTAAATGATGCAATACTTCGTTTTCTTTAACGTGAACAAAATAACTGTTTATGCCGACATTAATAAATTTTGTAAGTAAAGATAAAAATTGATTAATAGTAAAATATTTGTTTGTATAATTATTGAACGTGTGTGTGTGTGCGTGTGTGTGTGTACGTAGACGGGGAAAAGGAGAGACAGACAGACAGAGACGTTAGTAGTTTTTGGGTAATCACATGTTTGTTATACTTGTTTGTTCTACCGGTACCTAATTGCACAGTGGAAGGGTGTAGTTGAGGATGATTACCCCCCTCTCTCTCTCTCTCTCTCTCTCTCTCTCTCTCTCTCTCTCTCAAGAACTTAACGCTTACTATACATTCTTTCTTTGACCGAGAGAAAGATTCATTCTATAATTTTGACTAACTTACATACACATACACACAAAGGTAAACACAGTCACACCAAAACAACGCACAAAGAGGAACCTTGAGTAATATATATAGTTAGGTATATATTATATCACACAAAGGGGAGATAGAGAGATACATACATGCATACATACACAAAGGGGAGATAGAGAGATACATACATGCATACACACACAGACATTACCTACCAGAAGCATAGACAATAAGGGATGTATAGTAAGGCGATTATTGTCACACACAGAGAGGCAGACAGACAGACAGAAAATACAGGGAGAAAGAGAAGAGAGAGGGAGAGACAAAAAAGAGAAACAGACAGAAAATAGAGAGAAAGAATAGAAAGAGTGAATATTGATAATAAAACCAGTAAAATAATAGAACTAGTAAATAAGAGACATAATAAAACTAGTACATAATAGACATAATAGAACTAGTACATAATAGACATAATAGAACTAGTAAATAATAGAACTCAATATTACCTTATGAGGAAGCATATGACGTACTGTAGACTGAGGCGTTTGTTTTAAAGGAAGCGTTAAGTCGCCCCCTCACACCAGCCAGTCAGCGAGCCAGGAGCCACAGTCAGTTCACTTCCTCCCGGGGGCGTCAGGACTTCACTTGTTGTGGGTCTTCCGAGTGTTGATGACCTCTCTCTCTCTCTCTCTCTCTCTCTCTCTCTCTCTCTCTCTCTCTCTCAGCCAATTTAATGTACTGTTATACCCTAAACGACGCTCACTAGTTTCTTTTGGTCAATTTGTATTTCTTTCGTTTTTTTTTCTTTTTTGTTATACTTATATTTTTTTTACACTTGTCTTCTATACTTTTCTGTTGTCTTTTATACACTCACAGGGGTCGTTCGTCACTCACTGGGTCGTTCGTCACTCATACACACGATTAATATGCTCAATTTCTTATATAGTGTAGTAGGTAGAAGTTACTGTCCTCCTCCTCCTCGTCGCTTACACTTCAAGGTCGTGCTTTAAGTCTTAGGTTTTGAGGGGGAAATAAAACTTGATTGGGTTTTTTTCCCCGGTTGATTAAACTTGATTACGGGCGCAAGATTTTTAATGTTGTTTATTTTTCTTGGTGAGGTTTGTTTATTCTTGATTAGGCTTGCTTATTTCTTGCTTAGCCTTGTTTATTCTTGGGTGTCGTGTCGGTATAACTGTACACGGCGTTCTCTCTGAAGCAAACTGATTTTAACTTATTTTTTAACTTCTTAATTCTTATTTCACAGTATATGTTTTTTTCAGTTTATTCTCTCTGTAATTAATATTTTTTTGTGGTGGTGTTGGGGATAAGACTCTTTATATCGTGTGGGAGAATAAATCTTTTATTTTAGCTGTGAGTTACGCTTGGTTAGGTTAGGTTAGGGTTTATATCACTTACTTACTGTGCCGATAAAACGTTTCTAGACCTTGTTCTTGCCGGTTAATCAGGTTCAAGCCGTATACACTTGTTTACTCTGATCAAACTGGCTAATGTCGTGCTTGCTTGGTGATTATCCTTGATTGTGTGTGGGTTTTTTTAGCGATATAACTCATTTACTGCGTTAAATCGTCTCTACACTGTATCTCACACACATAACACTTTAGATCGGTAAAATTTGTAGTCACTGTGTTTACTTATCGGGAGGTGGTATACGTATGTGTGTGTGTGTATGTGTGGCGTGGACGAGTGTGTATGTATACTGTGGTGGGAGGCAGAGCGTCGTGTGGTGGTGACCAGAGAAGGACAAGGTAGCGTCTGCCCCACACCTGACTGACTGACTGTGTCTTACCTGCCCAGCTAGCGACACCTGGCAACTCGCTACCACCACCACCACTACTACTACCAGCTGTTTCTCTATCACCTTTACCACCATCATCACCATCATCTACCTGCTCTACCACCATCACTCGCCTTTTATTATCACCAGCCTTACATTACCACTACCACCATTACCACTATCACCATTACCACCACCACTATTACCACTATCACCATTACCACTATCACCATTACCACTACCACCATTACCACTATCACCATTACCACTATCACCATTACCACTATCACCATTACCACTATCACCATTACCACTACCACCATTCTTTTCGTTAGTATTATCACCAACACATTATTATTGCCACTGCTACTCATGTCACCGTTATCACTACCTCTGCTGCTACTACCCCCCCCCCCATTACCACCACTACCCCTGTGTCCCCTCCACCACCACTACCCCCTCCACCAACACTACCCCCTCCACCACCGCTACCCCCTCCACCACCACTACCCCTCTCCACCTCCACCACTCCCTCCACCACTACTAAACTGAATTCATTTTAATCCACCTTCCTTTTTATTTTTTTGTGAATATCTATTGAAGCCTCACTTAATCTGACTAATTCTTCATTCTCTTAAAGATTTGTGATCCAGTCTGTCTCACCTAACCTAACCTAACCTGTTTATCATTGCTTAATCCCAAGATGTCTGACCTCTCAAGCTTTTCATCCACTACACACTGCCTTATAGATTTTCTTGTAGATGGAGTGAATGCTTGTATTAAAACACCAATATTGTTATTACTTGTGGGAGATCTTCCTCATCAATAAGTAATAGAAACATTATAATATAAACATTCAGGGTATCACTCTATGAACATTTATAAGGTAGTGTGTATAATAATTTTTTTTCTGAGACACACTGTTATTGTTTTCACATTTCATGAACTTGTGTCCTCTCGTTGTTAAGCTTTCCACAGTCTGTACAGTAGGTCAATATGGAGTCAGGGCTTTGTTTAGCTCACACAGTACATTACTTGGTAGCTCAAGGTGCCCCCCTCCAGGTAATGTGGTGGTGGTGACGATGATACAGCAGAAACACTTGAAACTCGTATATAATTTCTATCCAGGGTTGTTATAGGGTGAGATATATAATTGAGGGGTTCGGGAAATCCATCGTCAGTTGAATATTGTAGAGAGATGTAACTGGTGTAGGATGAGCCCACCATTACATCAATAGACATCAACTCCTGTCAACATACACCCGCTCATGACACCTAGTTTAAACATAGGTAGATAAGTAAATCCCTATCAAGTCTTGTCATCCTACATCAATTTATTATCAACTCTTATGACCACCAAAGGAAAAAAACCAAATTGATTTCCAAATGTATTGTGGGTCAATTATGCTCATAGTTATAATAATGAAATGTATGTGTGTTTGTGAGTTTAGTTGACGTCAGCGTTGGGTTTTCCTCACTGTTGGCTACAAAACCTTGGAGGATTGGTAAAAAACAGCCCGAGAATGTTGAAGAGTGGTGGACTGTGGTCGCCAACCCTCAGATATGTAGACGGTTACTCTGATTGAGCCTGTGGGCGGCCGACAGATGAAACACTGGTCACTGAAATGGTTTATTAGGGGAGTGGCTTCATGACCAGAACAGTTGTGCTTCACCCCGCTCGTGCCTGGCCTCACCTGACCTCTGGGTGCAGCAGTCATGTGGTGAACAGCACTTAAGGTATTTCCATGTTAACGATCCATCCCCAGAAAGGAGGGTGAGTTTGCTTGTTTAACATTCAGTGTGGATGATGGTTTAGAATAACACCACAGGAACGATATTATTGGTTACCAGGAAGTCGCCCGCTTCACCACACCTGTCGTAGGTATAAGTGTCGATGTGAAGTCTCGAATCAATGGTCAACCAACTCGACATCCGTCTCGGAATTCCGGCTAATTAACCACTTCGATTACTTAATTGTAGGTTATGGTCGGCAGATGGTGTGGTCAACTACTATGTTCCCAAGATTGACAGTCTAGGTGATGTATGGTACACACAATAAAATAATTAAAACCTCCAATCACACAATTTGACGAAGGGAAAACTCACACACCGGCTGATTTAACCCTTGATGTTCGTCCGTTATGGCAGGTATCCGGTATACAGAGGGTCTACATATGGAGGTTGTGTTCATATTTGTATCATTATTTATTCATTCAGTCTTTATTGTTATTCATACACCAGTGTTAAATCTGTCGTGTAATTGTAGGATAATATATACAATTAAATGTATATTGATATTGAATAAATATCTTCGGTCGTAAACCAATAATATTATATAATTATTTAGTCATTTACCAATATATATCTAATATAATTAATCGTCTTCCAATAATTCACTTCCGGTAATTATATTAATTCTTAGCAATAGTTAACACCGTATATTTAATCATAAATAACTAATATGGTCATTATAAATGATCTAGTTTATGGTGATAGGGATAAACAGGCATAATTAATTGTAGACTATTAGTAAACTTTATATATTAATTGTAAACATTTCATAAGCTAGAACATAACAATCCGAAACAATCCTAAACAAACTATAATTAACTAGAGACCCATAGAAGACTTCAACAAACTTCTATCTAACTATATACCTCTTTTTAACACGTAGGTATAATTAATTAGAGGCCTAACTAATTATATATCAGTAAAACAAACATTGAACCTGTATATATCCTACCAGTTCCTCAGCCCAGCGTCCACCACCTTCACGGGGACACAGAGAGGCTACCAAGTGTCGAGCCAGGGAAGGAAATGTTGCCACCTGACATATTGGTACAGGTGAACGTACTCCCCCTCCCTCTACAGACCACAGGTAGACTGGTGGGGCGGAGGGGGGGGGGGTGAGGGGATGAGAAGGAGAGGGAAGGGTGAGGAGATGAAGAGGAGGGTGAGGGTGGGGGGTGATGGGTGGTACAATGAGTGTCGATGGGGTATGAGTGAAGATGATGGGTTATGGTGGGGTAAGGGTATAAGGCTGAAGGTGATGGGGTGGGATGGGGTCAAGTTGAAGGTGATGGGTGGGATGGGGCCAAGGTGATGGGGTAATGGGGTAGGGTCGCATGATCTAACACTCACTTAAAGTTACGAGTAAATCACTATTAATTCTCAAAAGTTTGTACCTGTAGCTTAATATGTTTTTTCTTCTAAATGGATATGTAGGAACACATCTTACTACACACACACACACACACACACACACACACACACACACACACACACATTTTGTCGGGTTAAAACGCTTCACGTGTCTTGCGGGGAGAGGGGGTCTTCCAATAATTAAGGGAATCTGTGAATTGTTTTAGAGGTTATTTGGAGGTGAAGGGGGAGGGGGAGGAGGATGAGGAAGAGGAAGAGATCAGTGATGTTTCGTTGTCCTTGTCAGCAGGTGGTGTCGGGTATGTATTTAAAATATAGGCGTGATTCTCCTTAATTAGTAAAAACAAATCATAATGGCAAAAAAAATAGTAAAACAAATAATATATATATATATATATGCAAGTAAATCACTGTGTGTGTGTGTGTGTATGTGTGTATTTTTATAACCATCTCAAACGCTTAGTATAGGTTACACACAGTTAAGACTTATTAGCCTGGAAACTTAGATTGTTTTAGGAGGTGGGGGTGGGGGATCGAACCAAGGACCAATGAGTGAGTTTACAATATTCAGAACAGAAAAAAGTTAGAGAGAGCAGGAAATACCTATCCACATACCACCCACCCAGCACCGCCCTCCCCACCCACCCAGCACCGCCCTCCACACCACCCAGCACCGCCCTCCCCACCCCTCAGCACCCACCCTCCCCACCCTCCTTTCCCACCCTCCCCACCCCGCTCAGCACCCGCCCTCCCCACCCTCCTTCCCACCCTCCCCACCCACTCCTTCCTCCTCCCCACCCCTCAGCACCGCCCTCCACCCTCCAGCACCACTCCCCACCCTCAGCACCGCCCTCCCACCCACTCAGCACCACCCTCCCACCCACCACCAGCACCGCCCTCCCCACCCACTGCTTCCTCCCTCCCACCCACTCCTTCCACCCTCCCCACCCTCCCACTTCCTCCCTCCCCACCCTCACTTTCCTCCCTCCCCTCCCCACCCACCCAGCACCGCCCTCCCCACCCACTCAGCACCACCCTCATTAAAAAATTCCCTCTTTCAATCACTTCTTAATAAAAGAAATAATTACTACAGAACCGTCAATTATAAATCCCTTTTGTAGGTGAATGAAAGTGTAATTAGGATAAACACAGAGTAATTAACGCCCGAGGAAGGAAGTTAAATAATGTATAGTAAAAAGCCATTAAGGGATAATTAGCGTAACCCGGAAGTGATATAACGGACCCCGGAAATATTAGATTGTTATTATTGGTTTGGTTAGAATGTTAGGAGTGAAGAATGAGGGAAGTGGAAGAGAGAGGAATGAGGGAAGAGGAGGAGAGAGGAATGAGGGAAGAGGAGGAGAGAGGAATGAGGGAAGAGGAAGAGAGAGGAATGAGGGAAGAGGAAGAGAGAGGAATGAGGGAAGAGGAAGAGAGAGGAATGAGAGAAGAGGAAGAGAGAGGAATGAAATAAAAGGAGGATGGATGTGGTAAGACGAATGAGGGAAGAGGAGGAATGAGGGTAGAAGAAAAGGGAATGGGGAAAGAGGAGAAGACAGGAATGAGAAAAGAGGACCAGAGAGGAAGAGGAGGGAAGTGAGGAAAGAGAGGGAGGAGTGAGGGAAGTGTGTCATTAAGCGGATCACCGAGTAACGGAACCCAGGCCTCCTCCTCCTCCTCCTCCTCCTCCTCCTCTTTCTCTTTCTCTTCCTTTGCTTCTTCTATTCCCTACTTTACCTTTCTCTCTCCTCTCTTATTCCCCCCTTCTCTACCTTCTCCTTCCTTCTCATTTCTTTCCTCCTTTTCCTCTTCTTTCTCTAGTAATATATT